TTTTCGGCTACTCTTGTCAGATCAAATTGTGGGATTTGACAGCCTTATTTATGATGGAGCATCCTGGGTCCCAATATGCGGAGCACGTTTTTGCAACAACGGACTGCGAACCGTAAACACTAAGATTCACTGCCAGGGTACGCTAAACACTGGGCAACGCCCGGCCCATTTCTTTACTAGTATTATTTAATGCTCTTTCAATTTATTTTGCAACCGTTTGCAATCGGTCTTGATGAGCTGTGTTTATTATATAAAAAAAAATTAGACAAAAGATATCATCGGTTTTTATCTCCCATTCTAACGTTGAAAATACTCTCGTCCTAAGCATTTTTCGGTCTTAATTTACGAAAAGATGTATCATCGGTTTTTATCTCCCATTCTAACGTTGAAAATACTCTCGTCCTAAGCATTTTTCGGTCTTAATTTCCGAAAAGATGTATCATCGGTTTTTATCTCCCATTCTAACGTTGAAAATACTCTCGTCCTAAGCATTTTTCGGTCTTAATTTCCGAAAAGATGTTTCAGTTTGAGATGATCTGATTATTTCCTTATTTATTTTTTATTAATAATATCAGTTAAAAAAAGAATCGACTGGAAGTAACTAACAAACAAACTAGGAAGTAAATCGTAAAAAATAACGTTTCGGATATCTCCGTTGCTCCGAAGTTTATGTTCTTGTTGCCTCATGTTTTACTGTTTATATAACTATACTTTCATCATCTGTATAGCTCTGCTCTTACTGTTCGTTTGTCTCTACCTCTATACTCAATCTAAATTTACTTCCACTGTTCTAGCCCTAATTCTACTGTATATCTAGCCCTAATTCTACTGTATATCTAGCCCTAATTCCACTGTATATCTAGCCCTAATTCTACTGTATATCTAGCCCTAATTCCACTGTATATCTAGCCCTAATTCTATTGTATATCTAGCCCTAATTCTATTGTATATCTAGCCCTAATTCCACTGTATACCTAGCCCTAATTCCACTGTTATTTCCCAAAAAAGGGGCCAAAGGTCACCTGGAGGAGTCACCTGTTTTAATCATTTGCAGCACTGAACAGTAGCTTATTGTCTGTTAGTCAGTCAATAGACACTAAAATGACGTCACATAAGGGACTTTTAACTTTGCATACTGTCATGACGTCAGTGAAACATGCGCACACCATGAATCACGAGAAGAATTATGCACTCTGTAAGCTACAACACAGCATGACTATGAACTTCAAAAACAATAAATAAAAATGTTTGTTCCTCTTAATTTTGGTTTTATTTATTCTTGAAACAGAACTCTATTGGGGATTCTGCGGAAGTACATCTAGTTCTTTCTATAGCCTTTCTTAACTTGTTATCATATTTTCGTAAAGGTCTGAACTATTAGACTTATCTAAGGTCTTATTTATTTATTTGTTATCATACGTCCATACAGCTCTCAACTGTTATATTTATGATAATTTAAAAATTCACAATAGAGTTAACTTATGTAAAATTTAGTTATCTTAAAAATCAGGTCTTGGAAATTCTCCTTTTAACTATTTGTACACGTTAACCCTATCGTGACTGACAGGCATCCAAATGAACGGTTCTAGCTCAGCTTAGTATATTGTCATCAAAATTATGTAGTATATATGTGTATTACAACTTGTTAATCGATCAGACGTTACGGTGTTACGGCCGCCACAGTTTCATGAGATTGGAGACATGATGTTTGACTCTTCTAATCACTTCGAACCGACGTTAATTATCTTGATGTTTCATCACACTTACCGATCTTCCACGATTTGAAAGTTTCTTCGACGAGTGGATTTACTGGAGATTATTATTCGTCATGCTGTAGTCAAACTTTAGATGGCGCTTTGCATCGGAATGTGGAAATTATGTATTAAGTATTCCTCAAAATCTTTCAAACCTACAGAACTAATACGATTATTTGAAAGTTTTGCACGCTATTCTGTATTACATGATGTAGAATTCAAGACTAAACAAAACTGATTATTTGATAATAATGAAAAGTTTTAGAACATAATAACTACTCTAATACACATAAGTAGCTAAACTTGTAAATAATATATCCTGAGATACTTCAATAACACGCCAAAGAAAACTAACAGTGAACAGCTAAAAACAAAAAGGACTTCAGCAAACAGTCTGTACAATATTTCAAAACCTAAACACTTATAGAGCTGAATTCTTCTAAAACCTAAACACTTACAGAGCTGAATCCTTCTAAAACCTAAACACTTACAGAGCTCATTTATTTTGTTATTATTTTAATCTAATAAATCTTTTTATCATCTGCTTGAATTAACTGAAATTTTATTACGGAATAACTAAATATCATTCTTTAAACTAGTAATTTTAAGTTGGTAACAGAAATTTTATGTTATTGATAATAGAACGTTTGTGTTACTAACAAAAGTTGTGTGTTGATAACAGAAGGGTTATTAATAACAGCTGTGTGTTGATAATAGAAGGTTTGTGTTATTAATAACAGCTGTGTGTTGATAATAGAAGGTTTGTGTTATTCATAACAGCTGTGTGTTGATAATAGAAGGTTTGCGTTATTAATAACAGCTGTTTGTTGATAATAGCAGGTTTGTTTTATTCATAACAGCTGTGTGTTGATAATAGAAGGTTTGTGTTATTCATAACAGCTGTGTGTTGATAATAGAAGGTTTGTGTTATTCATAACAGCTGTGCGTTCATAATAGAAGGTTTGTGTTATTTGTAACAGCTGTGTGTTGATAATAGAAGGTTTGTGTTATTAATAACAGCTGTGTGTTGATAATAGAAGGTTTGTGTTATTCATAACAGCTGTGTGTTGATAATAGAAGGTTTGTGTTATTCATAACAGCTGTGTGTTGATAATAGAAGGTTTTGTGTTATTAATAACAGCTGTGTGTTGATAATAGAAGGTTTGTGTTATTAATAACAGCTGTGTGTTGATAATAAAAGCTTTGTGTTATTAATAACAGCTGTGTGTTGATAATAGAAGGTTACTAACATATATCCACGCGGTAAGAAAAGTGAGGAAAACTTTACAAAAGTGTAGCCTTCACATTGTCTTTCAAAACCATCTAGCCTTTAATGAGAAAGTTGAGTGTTCGCATTATGATAATATTTTAAACTCATCATGACAACGTTGTTTGTTTTTCGTCATTTCCTGAATAAATGCGTTTTGTTTCACGAACTTTGTCTAAAGTTGTACAAAGTTTGAATTATTTTGGCTTCACTTGGAGAAAATTAATGTCTTTTTTACGTCGATTTTACAGTTCGATGAAAACAAACCCGAGTCATTAACTTCTAAATAAAATTTTCTATGAACGAAAACTCATAAGATTACACAGTTAGTTCAGGGTGATAAAGAAGTTTCTAGTATCTTTGTGTTTTTTTTTACACCTTAGTGCCTGTGTACTGTAACGAACTGGCCAGGTGGTTAGGACCGCTCGAGGGTCGCGGGTTCGAATCCCCGTCACACCAAACATACATGCCCTTTCAGCCGTGGGGGCGTTATAATGTGACGGTCAGTCCCACTATTCGTTGGTAAAAGAGTAGCCCAAGAGTTGGCGGTGGGCGGTGTTGACTAGCTGCCTTCCCTCCAGTCTATCACTTCTAAATTAGGAACGGCTAGCGCAGATAGCCCTCGTGTTGCTTTGCGCGAAATTCACAAAACAAACAAAACCATTTCCAGTAAACAATTTACAGCTAGTGAGAAACAAGTAAAAGGCAGAAAGTAAGTAGACGCAGGAGAAGCTTTGGAAGAATCACGATTGACCAATCTACGTTTAACCAGCGTATCTCCAAACCTTCCCACCTTCTCCGACTATCTCGATGTACAGTGTTCGGTCTGCTGGAACACAGCGCCGAGAAAAGCTTCTCGCACGTGTGTTAGAAGAACATCTTTTTGTAAGCAGACCTTACAACCGTAACCGTAAAGCTTTTGCGATGTTCTTAATATATTTTCAAACGCTATTTGTGTATACACGTAGGTAGAAATTGAATGGCAACATTACTAAGATTTGCTGAAGTAATATTGGAAAGCGTTTTACTCAAAAATTGTGTCAGCCATTTTATTAATTAAATTCGGTTTATGCTTTAAGCCTTTTCACTTGAATTTTAAAAGTTATATTAAATTTTTTTCTTCTTCTAATAACTAAGGATATACCATAAAAAATCAAGAGAAAATTCTATATAAACTTAAGAAACAACTAACATTTAATTGTTTTTAAGTAACGAGCCAGAAAAAGAAAAATATTTAAATAACACTATCATCCTAGGATGATATTGCTATTTTCCAAGGCAATGTTTTTACTGAAAGACTCTCTTGTTATTTATTGAGTATGATGGTAATGATGTTTCTGTTTACAAGGAACATGATAACATTTATAAAGGATGATATTGCTATTTTCCAAGGCAATGTTTTTACTGAAAGACTCTCTTGTTATTTATTGAGGATGATGGTAATGATGTTTCTGTTTACAAGGAACATGACAACATTTATAATTAAAGGTAGTTACATCATACCTTATAGATAGTGACACCATACCTTAAAGGTAGTGACATTATGTTTAGAAATGATGATATAATCTTTTGAAGATGTCATTCTTGAAAACAATCAAATGTTTTATAAAGAAACAAGCTACATGTATACGCTTTTCTCCCAATTTCATTCTATTTAATTACAAGGTAAGAATCCCATTTTTTTCCATGGCTACAACTTACATCTTAAGTTCTTAATTTTTAGATTATACATCGCATAAGTTTTATTTATTAACATAATCTTTTAATTATTGGTTTTATTCTTTTGTTATTTGTCCGACTCGGGTTTCTGTCATTAGTTATTATTTATTTTGAGTTATTACCTAAATATCCGTTCTTGTTTCTTCAGAATAACTATGGAAGTCCTTTGATATTTACAAATTAGTTTTAAAGTGTAAATGTATTCCATATTATTTATCAATTACGTATTTAGGCGCTTTTGTTTGTATGTTTTTTTCCAGATAGCAACTTTGTGCTGGGAAATGCCCAAGTTCCCACAGTATACCCAATCGTTTACTGTTCTGACGGATTCTGTGACCTGACCGGTTTCTCCAGGGCTCAGATCATGCAGAAAGGTTGCGCTTGTTCGTTTCTTTTTGGACCCGAAACGACGAAAGAGGACATAGAACAGATCGAGATGGCGTTGAATAACAAAACTGAACTGAAGATGGAAGTTATGTTTTACAAACGAAACGGTTGGTGGAAGTTATGTTTTACAAACGAAACGGTTGGTGGAAGTTATGTTTTACAAACGAAACGGTTGGCTCTCTTTCGTTTTTGTACCTTCATAATGTGATCTTTAAACATTTGACTCTTAATATCTATTACTTGTTTTATTTTTTTAATCCAATTACATTAGTTAAAGTTGACTCAGGTTTAAATCCAGAATTCATGAGGTGCACAACTGGCAAATAGACAGTTATTAAATAACCCTAACTTTTCCAATAATGTTAGGGACTAAAAATAACCATTATCAAAATAAGAGTTCTGTTGGTTTTTATGGTGGGATAAACATCAGTCATAATGGTTATATTAAGAATTCGTTGCTCAAAACTGCCAAATCGCTCTTTAAATCTTTATTGTGGCCGTCTGAAACAAACAGAAACAACCATGATGTAAACTCTGGTTTGTATTATTATTATTATCACTGACTCATACCAGGTGTTTTTGTAGGAAGTCCTTTTTGGTGTCTTCTGGATATCGTCCCAATAAAGAACGAGAAACACGAAGTGGTGTTATTCCTGGCCTCACATAAAGATGTCACCAAAACAAAAGTCGCTGAGATGGAGACGTGCGAAACTGGTAGGCTTAGCATTGTTTACTTTCTAGTTTGTAATTAACGGCTGAGAAAGTTTCTCACTAGTGTTAAAACACAGAAAACTAGATAATGAACAACATCAACAATCTTTGGCATTGTTTACTTTCTATATCTTCTAATTATCAGCTTGGGAAGTTCGTCGTTAGTGTTAAAACGCAGAAAACTAACTATCATCCAACATCAACAACATAGGCCTGCGATGGTTTTCTTGTCTTGAAATGTTTACATGTTCTACAGTAGTTCCTGTACGATGAATCCGAAAAGACATCCATTTCTTTCCATCACGTACAAAACGTCACATGTAATTTTACATAAGTCAATTATTTTCATAGATATCGGGTCACATTTTGTTATGCTTAAAATGTTGACAACCACTGGCTATAGATTTCTCTAGACCAATCGCGACGTGAGAGTTTTATCGATCGTTCTAGAACCCACGAGAAACATACCGCTAGTATATAAACAGTTAACAGGCCGCATGAAATGTCATTTCTGGATAGTATTTGTTTTTGCGTGCACTTCGACTGTGGTGTAGGTACTGAATGCTTTCACACTGTGGTGTAGCAACAGAGCACTTTCACTCTGTGGTGCCCCCCAGTGGCACAGCTGTATGTCTGCGGACTTACAACGCTAGAAACCGGGTTTCTATACCCGTGTTGGGCACAGCACAGATAGCCCATTGTGTAGCTTTGTGCTTAATTCCAAACAAACAAACACTCTGTGGGGTAGGTATAGAACACTTTCACACTATGGTGTAGGTACGGAACACTTTCAGACTCTGGTGTAGGTAAAGAACACTTTCACGCTCTCGTGTAGGGACGGAACACTTTCACACTCTGGTGTAGGGACGGAACACTTTCACACTCTGGTGTAGGG